CACCACCACCACCACCATCATCATCACCATCATTTTGTTCAATGTCGAGCCCACTGAGGACCAACATATGGATCCCTGCCCAGAACTATCACCATCTTTTCCTTAAATGCCACAATGCAAACCTATTGTAGTGGCAGCTTCTTTTATGACTCCAAGTTCCTATTCCCACTAATGCCAATGAGGCAGCTGGATTCAATTTCTGATCTGATCTCAAATTTGTTTTCCAGGATCAAGGAGAAAGAGAACAAACACTGGTCACACTTAGATCCATAGGCAGGCCATTATATTACACGACACATTAATGGTGAAATAATTAATTGTGATTTCTGGTCACTGTAACGATGAGTTTTTACTGGCTTCTGCACTTGCCCTGCCCGGCCTCTTCATGGATGCCTGTAAGTGCATCTGTGTGTCTGCAGCGTGAATCTACAGGAACAGGGTCTCTCCTCCTAGGGTGCAGAGTCCCTTCTCCTTCACCCTAAATGCTTTCTCTTGAACATGCGTTGACTCTGGCAGCAAGTTTCTCCTAGACACTGAGCTAAACCAGGGCTGTGCAGACAGATGTTAAGTCAGTATTTATTAACTGAGCTCTTATTTTGATTCTCTCTGCCTTAAAGTGTTTTCCTCCCTAAGTTACCTGGGTGGTCAGTTACCCAGTGGGATACTACTTTCTGGCACACTCCAGTTCCAGAGCTGATAAAGGGAGGGGACAGGAAGGTGCTGGCATTCTCCTCATAAATATTCTCATTTTTAAAGACACTTTGTGGTTTTTAAATTTGTCTCCTTTGAAGAGAAAGCAAAGTCAACAAGCAGAAAATGTGGCCCTCAGAAGGCGTCTGAGAATGAGTACTGTCCCCCTTCCACTCCCTTAACAAAGGCACAGAAGGTGTTCTCGACCACCACGATGACAAGCCCGCCCTTCCTCCCAAGGCACAGGCCGCCTGCCCACAGCCCACCCTCTCTCAATCCAGCTGCATCTTTGGCTATTGGTTTCTCAAGTCACCGAGTCCTTGTGCCGACTGTTCTGAGAGGAAACACTTCAACCCAAAGCCCCCCAGCCTGGGTGCAGACAGGGGCTCCAGGTGTTAGACGGAGCTGGGAAGCAGCTATTTAGGTAACTGCTGCTGTTCTCGGTGTGTCTGAAGAAACTGCCCAATAAAACATGTTATCCATGCACTAATTTAAGCATGTGAGATACTCACCTGTATGTTGCAGAAACCTAATTACCCACCTCCTATAATCTATCACATATGCTTAACACTACCAGAAATCATTTTATAGCATCAATGGGAGTGAGGAAACAACGGAAGCAATGCCACCAGGTCTCTTCTGCCTCCTCCAGGAAGTCTTCCCGGAAGCCCCACTGCAGAAGTACTGTGGTTTCCAGCCCAGAGAGGTCAAGTCATTTGCCTAAGGTCAAACATCCATCAGCAGTGGAGGCTAGGGTCTGAGCTTGGTCTGTCTGATCAGTCCTCACCCTGATGCCCAGCAGCAGCCTCTGTGGGAGCTGATGTGGTGTAAGGCAACCAGCAAAGGCAAGGGGAGGCTGGGGAGGAGGGGGTGTGTGCAGCTGGCAACCGCCTCAGCAGTCACGAGTGTCCAATGAGAGACTGTCCCAAACACGTGGCAGAGGGGCTGGGGATCTCCCAGACTTGGCAGGAACCACAACGTAATATCAAGATCGGATTTACAAAGGGGCAGCAATCTGACTCCCAGTCACCCCTCTAGAGTCCTCCTTTAACTCAATAGGAAGTATTAAGCTTTGCATCTGGGTCAGCAGTAACCAACCAGAAATGGAAGTCAGATGGTTTAAAACAGGGCACCACTGACATGTGGGGCTGGATAATTCCCTGCTGTGAGGGGCTGACCTGCGCACTGTGGGATGCTTTGCAGCACCCCTGGTTGCTACTCACGGCTAGACATCTGCAGAACCTTACCTTCCCACTCCCATACTCCTGTTGTGATAGCCCAGAGTTTCTCCTTGGAGAGCAAAACCACCCTGGTTGAGAAGCACCGTTTCAAAAGCATGTACTTGTAATGCATGATCCAGGGAGGAAAAGCATTCTTCTCAAGTCCAAAGACTTCGGTCTCCTGACAGCAGCCGTGCCTGGAGTTTGGGGCTCAACTGTGTAGACTCCAGATTGACTGGTAATGTCTGCTATGCACAGGGAAGGGACAGGCTGGTGGCATTTCTGCCTCCTCTGTAATTCAGGGATTCTCTGCATCTCAATCACCCAGGGAGTTTTTAAGCACTTCACATGCTGCTTGTGCACTATAGCTCTTGCCTGTAATCCCAGCACTTCAGGAGGCCAAGGCGGGAGGATGGCTTGAGCCCAGGAGTTCAAGACCACCCTAGGCAACACAGTAAAACCCATTTCTTAAAAAAAAAAAAAAATAGCCACACACAGTGGTGAGTGCCTGGGGTCCCAGCTACTCAGAAGGCTGAAGTGGGAGGATTTCAGGAGGTTGAGGCTGCAGTGAGCCATGGCTGAGCCACTGCACTCCAGCCTGGGCAACAGAGTGAGACCCCATCTCAAAAGGGGGGTAAAAAAAAGGAACTACGCGTGCCCGAGTGCACCCAGATTGTGAATTTATAAACCTGAACCCAGATAGCTCATCTCTGCTTTCAACATGCTCTACCGAAAAAAACCCAAGTGGAGAGCCTCATGGCAATGAGCCTCCAGGAAGCACCTCCCAGCCCCCAGCCTCCACCCCAAGGGCAGCGCCAGGCACGCCAGCAGCAGCAGAAGGGGGCCTGTGGACAGTGACAGCTTAGATATCATCTGAACGGTTAGAGACACACATCTGGGCAACTTAGAGTTTTGTCATCTCCTTGTATCCACTGTGACATGTGTTTAGCTGGAGCCACAGGATAACCAGTGCCTTTACACACACCCCCAGCTCTTTATTTCAGACACATGAAGTCAGGAATGTCTACACTAAGAAACCCCCACTCTACTCAACATCCACATCTTTGCTTCTCATGATTTTCTTAGTCTTCCACAGAAATCAATGGTATTAACTTTAATATAGTTGAGATTCTACAAATACCACTGAACCGTGCGGCAACCAGGTTTGCGTTAATGGAGACGCTTCAGAATCCCATTCAAATCTCCACCCAGGGGTGACACTCACGGTGAACAGGTTGGACCGGCGCTTGGACTGCTTGCGAACGGGCGTGGGCGTGTTGGCAGTGGGAGGAACATCGATTCGAAGTTCCTTCTGGCTGGTGCTGGGAGTCGATGGAACGGAGGAGGAATAGTCGCTTAAACTCCCACCTCCATTACTTGTCTGAAATGATTAAAATCCAAGGTTTTATTAACGACACACTCAGGAACACAAGCCCTCCACTTAAGCAAGGTCATAACCAACAAGTGGGCATGAGCCCCACGGAAGGGATGCGTGAGAATGGCTGACTGGCGTCTATGGCTTTGCCAGGTGTATTAGCATCACGTCTACGAGGTCTCATCCTGGAACATGCCAACCATCTCACTCAGTGGCGTCCCCTAAGAAAAGTGACTGAAGACAAAGAAGTCTCTTTCATTTAACTTAGAAGATTTCTGAAGTTCAAATTTGATTATTTTCTCTTTCCTCTGAAAATGAAAGAGATTGGTTAAACTAAATGGATTCTATGTTTCCTTCACTGCCTTAGATCAGTAGAACCACAGCTAACATTCTGAAAGCGACATCTGGAAAATCTGAGTGTTTTTGAAAAGTATTTCAAGATTCACAGAAAAATAAACACAGCAAGTGAAGACATTCTTTTTTTATGTATTTATTTATTTTTTTGAGACAGGGTCTCACTCTGTCACCCAGGCTGGAGTGCAGTGGTGCGATCTCACTCACTGCAGCCTCAATCTTCTGCTGGGCACAGGTGATCCTCCCATCTCAGCCTCCCAAGGCACAAGCCACCATGCCTGGCTAATTTTTCTATTTTTTGTAGATACAGAGGTGTGATTCTGCCATGTTGCCCAGGCTGGTCTTGAACTACTGAGCTCACGCGATCCACCTGCCTTGAGCTCCCAAAGTGCTGGGATTACAGGCATCTGCCACTCAGCCCAGCCAGCATGAACATTCATGACTATACCTGGACAGGCTCCGACAATGCATGCCCTAACTTTACTGGCTTCCCAAGTGATCTGAAAGCATGACATTGAACCTTTTCGCCATGTCCTTAAAAAAAAAAAGTGCCAATAGAGTACCTGCCCAGGAAATGTAGTCAAAAAACAAGCACAGGCAAAAATAAAGCATTAAGAGGTTTTTGGTTAGGTTCTTCAAAGTGACAATTATTTCGTTTGCTTCCAAGTAAATAATTTTGCAAAATGTTGTTATGGAAAGATAGCATTTTCTATGGGACCTAAGGGAGATGATAATTATAATTGAATGCCACTACCAAATTTAAGTATAAAGCGAGATTGGCCATTAAGATTTACTCACAACTGTTCAACCTATAAGCAGACTAGGACCAAGACCAGAGAAGGGTGGTTTAAATCACCAGCGAGGACCACAGCCACACACCTCCCATCACCACCCGGGCCAGCATGCCTCATAACACAGGCAGCATGAAGACAGAAAACATTAACGAATGATTCCCATAAAACTCACTTGGCCACAGCAGTTTCTGAAGAAAATGTTAAGTCAATTACATCATGCTGTTACTCATAAAGTTGGAAAAAAAAAAAAAATCAACCTTGCATTGGCTGGGAACACTATTTGCACATTCTCTTTGGTTCTAAGAGTCCGACTTCTCACGTCACCTAACGTACCTGGCTGATGTGCACGGCGGACACCTGCGCAGAACAGACGGAGGAATGGCTGGGAGAATTAGGCAGCGACTTGCAGGGTCCTATGGACAGCTGCTGCTTCTTCCTTGTGGCAACAATCTTCTGGGCAACTGGTGGACACACAGACAAAAAGAAATCCATGTCAATCAATTTCCAAATTCAGGAACAGAGCAGAGATCATCACTCTGTCATCGAAATCTGTTATTTCCTTCTTTCGCAGTAATAGCATTCCTAGTTCTTAGTTGGGCAAATGACAACCAGAATAAATATGACATTTTCCAGAGCCTCCTCCCATCCCCCCACTCCCACATCAGCTGAACATGGCCAGGTACGCCAGCTCTGGCCAGCAGGATGAGAGCAGAAGGATCACAGGGCAGCTTTTAAGGATCTTTCTTGAGAGCTTCCCTTTGCCCCCAAATTCTTGTATGTTTTTCCTACTTGTTGCCTGAAATGCACAAATGTTATGTTGCCTCAGCAGCATTGTGGAACACGAGGTGACACTGGGAACAGGAGCCACATGGGAGGGAGACAGAGCCGGTCCCCCGACTCCGGTCTCCCGCCTCCACAGAAGAAGGCCTCAGCAGCCCTGCACAGACCACCTCAGAGGAATGTGAAGCAAAAAAATACACACCTGTCTCATTTAAGTTATTCTCATAAAACGATCTTTTTTTCCAGTTACTTGGAACAAAAATAATCCTAAATAAGGCACGGCAATTTAACCAAACCCCCTGGAAAGACAAAAACTGTTTTTTTGGGTTTTTTTTTTCCCCTAAAGCCTAAAGAATTCCTCTTAACTCTACAAGCTATCATACAGAATTATATTCAAGGACATGTAATTACATCAAAGACCTCTTTTATTTAAATATACTACTGCACACATTGGAAGTTTATCTTAATCAATACAAATCTAAATTCAAGCAGCCATAACTTCTCTTGGCAAATAGGTTCGCTGATAAAGCATACTGGATGTAATTGGAAAGGAAGTCAACGATTAGAAAACTTCCTACACCAATGGGTGTCACTGCCGCAGAATAACTACAGTTTTGATTTGAATAGATGTGTGTCTTTGGGGACTAGCAGTAATTAAGTTCAACGATATTCAATCCTTGTCTTTGCCTAGATAGTTGCTATTTTCGAAGATGTCCACGGAAAAGAACATGTGATCTCCCCAGCAATAGGTTATAACATAGACGGGGCCCATATCGTGTTTGCAGATAATTTCTTTTCCAAATGAATACAATTTTAGTAAGACACTGGTTTGTCCACAGCCTATAGGTTTCATGTAAATGAATGATGGTATAAATATGATTAAGTGAAAATGCAATATGTAAAAAATGGCTCGCAGAGATGAAGAAGCAGCTTCATTAGTTACATCCCACCTCCAATAGGCCTCTTATCATCCTGAAAGGATGATATCAATTAATTTATCTTCCGGTAGTGTATTGATCATAACCTTCATCAGCTAATCATGTTTAAATTACAGAGGAATATCGTGGCACTCTGTCATTTCAGAACCATTGGCATATTGATCTGGGGTCTTTGAAGACATTTACTAGAATATTTTAAAAGTCATTACGTGAACTCAAAAATAAAATCTAAGACTTCAACAGATGCAAAATGTGTTGTCTAGGTACCCTGAAATTGCAAAAACCAAAAGTAAATTAGCCAAAAATCATAATTGCCTGGGTGAGTGCTAAAGTACTGCTACTTTGTTTTTGAAAAATAGCAATGAGGGGCTTTGATTATCAACTACACTGATATCTGATTTTACTCCCAGCCTCAGAGTTACTATTCAGCTGGATGGCCACACTGACTTTACACTCGTAAGAAATGCGCAGACGTCAGAATTAGATAGGTCTAGGATGCAGGCTTTGAGAGCTCTGCAGACATTTTCATTTGTAGAAACTAGGGAAGATGTAAGAAACTTCCTAAGACAAGTCAAATATGTTATTGAAATCTCTATTGTATGAAACTTCAAATGCAAATGAATATTCTATTCTTCCTACTTGGAGTCTAGGAAGAGTCAGTTCATGAGTAAAGAGAATATTTTTACAACAAAGCCTCTCATCAAACTACAGACAGGATGTACAAAGTATGAGTATTTAGCATTGCTAACTGCTGAAATTCTTCTATTTAATTATTGTTCTAGCACATTAATTAAAAAATAAAACGACGTCACAACATCCAATAGCTGGTAGTATTTTTTAAACTCTACTGTTTTTTTCGTATTTGTCCTATTTTCCCTCTACCTGTAACTGTTATGTCCTTCCTGCTTCCATACACAAACGAAGGAAAGAAAATGATTTATAAATATGTTGTTCTAAAATATACAGACTGCTTGAATGCTTTAAGACTATAGGGTGACCCGTAAGAATAAGGGAAAACTTTAATGAAGAACAAAAAGTATCTGACTTGAGGAGGAGGAGGGAGAGCATGAGGACTC